ATTTCAGTGTTTGTCGGGTTGATGGCAAAAAGTTATTTCCGCGGTCCGACTTCCTCAAGTAGTTTCAGCCACTTTATGCGAAGACGTTGTCCATCTGCCGGTTTATCCGTCTATTTGTCAGCAAGATAACGAATGAACTGATGTAATATATATTCAGCAATAGTATATTATATGACCTCAACGTGAAGATACTTGTTATCAATCGGGCCACCCCTAGGGTCCGGGGGGTGTGATATGGGGACAATTAAATTTTTGCTGAATCTATAAGTAAAGTTAGATTAAGTATTTTCAGCAATGGACAGTTTTCCTGTCCCGTTTTCGATATTGTCAGATCGAAAACAGGTTCAGGTTGGATTGAGACAAGACAACCTTGATGGTTGGGGTGAAGTAAAATTTGGTGTGGAAATTTAGCGTTGGGAATTAGCATAGATTCACCAGAAATTATTCACTACGCTTGCCGTGGTTAAATTTTAAAGTTATTTTCTTACTTATTTTACAGGTGGGCGTGGTGTTTTTATCCAAATGCGAATCAGCGACTGTGAGGGGGCCATTGCCCGAATGACTCCAGGAGTTTCATACAGTTGCCAGGGTGATATAATCCCCTCTGCTGCCGCAGACGCGCTTCGTCTCAAAATTAGCGCCTTCTTCAACGGGGCGATCATACCCATAATTGATGCTGTCGTGCCGAACTCATCAGTTGAGGCAGGATTGCAGTACACTCTTGCTTGGACCATTGTGCCGAGCACGTTCCTGTCTGGAAGTACGGTACCCGTCACGGCCGAGGTTGTGAACGAGGAGAGTCAAGAACTTGAGGTCTGTACCGGTATTATGACGGAAATCGCAGGTGTTTGAGTTGTTAATATATATATTTTAAAATACATAATTCGAGAAGAGATATATTCCCGTGTAATAAATAAATCTACACAGTAATCTGCATTCACCGATGTATAAACTTGTTTAAAAGTACACTGTAAAAATACTTCTGAAATATACGATTAAAAAATCGGGTTAACATTTACCTAAATAGTGGTACACTCTTAAAAATCGAGCCCTAAATTTGGAAAATTGTGGCCGATGCATAATGAAATCTGCATGAATCTCATTTTCCCCAAATATCCAACCCCTTTCCCCGAGAACCGTGGGGGTGGTTTGTGTGTGACGCTAATAAGGTATTGGGTTCATCCATATATTACGTCATCAAGATTTCTCGATTTTAGCACCGACCCACTCAACATAGACATTAAGGGATAGGGAATTTTAACATGGAAAAGATAGGAAGGCCAAACCACCCACCCACTAAAATGATGACGTAATATATGGACGTTCTCATTGCGAATTTGTAGTTTAAAAAAACGTGAAAAAACGGATAAAAAAACTCACTATTTATCGGACCATACTCCCTTGAAGTGACAAACGGGAAGAGTTGTTAGGCATTTCAAAAACTCCCCGTGCTCTTATAGAAGCCATCTACGAAAGCGGAATTTGTAAAATGTTTCCCAGAGCTGAGGAATAATTTTTTTAAATAACACTTTAATTTGCTTTGGTATGTGAAATGATTGGGATAACATTTGGCTTTTTGATTTTTCCTGAAAAATTCGTAACGAACGGAATGGGAATTTATGTCATACTATGATGCAACATATGTTGGTGCATGTGCATGCCAAATTTCGCATCTCTAGGTCAAAGTTTAAAATATAGATCCGAGGGCGTGCACGCTCCTCCCTCCCCGCAACACTGTACTCTTTGGACACAGAGGATCGAGCCTGAAGGAGAATTCAAAATACAGGTCATGAGCATACCTCTTAAGCTTAACAAAGCTTTCTTATTGCAAAGAGGTTTTTAAAAATTAATAATTTGGAAAAGAATATTTAAATTAACCAAAAAGTTAATTTTATTTTTGATTTATGAATTTGTAAAAGGTCGTTAACTCATCAATACTAGATAAATACAAGTCTTATGAAACCCATCATAATCAGTAAAGTTTGATTGACAGTTAGGTACATAAATTAAAGTCATTATCAGTTCCCACGTACATATCTATTCGGAAAGCACTGTAATCTATTTACGCCTTGTGGCTGGTCCGACACAAGCATTTGCATGAGCAATATACACAGGTATATATGTATATACCTACATGTATGCGTATATAAATAATAAAATCACCACTACTTCTGGTGCATCTTAAAAGTATTGAGCATCAGCCAATGTTAATAAATCCAAAAGGCTAAATGGCCGACCTCTCCATAAGCTATAACATGTAAAGTTTCGAAATTAATTGCACGGTCATTTCCTGATGGATTTTCACAATGGCGCCAGTTTTGGAAACCTTGGACCTTGGGGAGAAATATATATTTTCAGATTTTTCAAATTCGGCCCCACCCCCTCGAAATCCAGGTCACAAGGTCAAAAAACAATTAACACTTCTTTTTCGGATTTTAAAATTTTACGACTGGATTCGACGGACCTGGGGATAAATTCTTGGCAGAAATAGTCAGGTCATCATATTCAGCGACTAGTAGGCCGCACCCCCTGCTTTGGAGTCATTGTGGGGGTGGTCAAATGTCAAATCAACACACTTAATTTAGTAAAAAAAATTCCCCCCCCCACTGTAGTTTCCGAAATTCAACGTCGCCAATACACGTAATCTTACCAAGGCCCCCTATGTGAACGACATTCCATTGTGGTAGATGAAAGTAAAAATGATCTCGCTGGAAGATATTTTTAGACTGATGGTGATTTTTATTAAACAACTTGGTTTTAAGGTTTTGACAGTACATAGGAGACATTCATACATATGTAATAATATGTGGTCAGAAGTGACCATACAAACTACGCAGAGTTATGCTCAAACGAAGTGTCCCTTCTAATGAGGCATAAAAACAAAAGGACCCTTTTAATCCCTTGTCCTGGGAAAAAGGTTGGAAAATGCTCAGCCCTCATAAAAGTCGACAAACTTAAAAATTGATAAATATGGAAAACTTTGTTAACATGCATATTTTAACATCCTCCCTCAATTTTTAAAGTTCAATATCGGCAGTTTCCACTGGATTTGCCCTAACCGAAATTACATTTGGCCGGCTTTTCAGAAAAAGGAAAACACAAAGAGTGGCTTGAGCAACTATTATTAGTATGCAAAGGGTTAAGATCCATTCCATTGTTGACCAGGCTGGTTCATTGCTTGTGTGGTAGTGGATTGACCCTCCTTCGTCAGTGGAACCATTGATCATCAGACTGGTCCAGTTGAAACTAGGCTGCAAGTGCCAGTTGGCTTTCACCGTGAGTAGTGGGTCGACTACCTCTTGGTGAACAAGGCTGGATTCAGTTCCTGAAAATTCCATATCATTTATCTTAAAATTAGCATTCATTGGAAGGATGAACACGCTAGCAGGGCATTGTTGCAGCTTCCTCTCAATGGTAATATTGGACCCAGGGCAGTAGATATGATATTGTCCATGGTGTAGTTTGATTTGTACAAAATCCCATGGTTCAGCAAGGTTCTTGTCATAACAGTGGTCTATGTCAAAGTGATTGGAGTTCTTTGTTTTCGCTGTTGGCGTGCATCCTCGAGTGGGCGAAACAATTAGGTCGGGGGTTGTAGGCTCCTTAACATTGATGGAGTATACGCAGTCATCTTTCGTAGAAAGGAACAAGAAATCGGGTTAAATCGTCAGAAATCGAGCACAAAGGAATCAAAAAGGCATGAACAAATAGCAAAACGGCTACCTTTTTGCACACACTGATCTGCACGCAATTCTTCACAATTTTTACCTATCTGCCCTCAGATTGATTTTATACCTCACCACCTTGCTATATTGCTACAGAAATAATTCAATTAGCAATGGTGATTTGAATATTTTCTATCAAGATTAGCAAAATTTGGACTAAACCTTAACCTCTATTTACAATCCCCCTTGTGATTTCCTGTTGCAAATACCACCTTAACGAACGACGAAACTACCTTGGCCCATAGTAAGGAGTATGTAAGGATTTAAAGTTTCAAAAGCTTTCTGAATTTCTGCCCTCTGGCTTAATTAACACAAACAAAAGAGGGTCAAAATAAGAATTTCGTCCTGACTCCTCTGGGACACGCACAAATTTTATACTGCGCAATGATTGGAGCACTCCAGATATTTTTTCTGTACCTTTTGCCTTAATATAAATTCAAATTTCTTTTGATGTATACGATGGTTGCAGCTGGTTGCAGCAGTTTTAGTAGATGAGATGTAAGGGATTAATAATGTATAAATACATTATTAATCAATACAAATTAATATTAATTAATCAATATTAATTAATTTTAATTAATAAATACATTATTAATAAACCGTAAATTTACGGTTCCTCGAAATACCACAGAACTAGACACGATTTTCAACTTGAAGTTTTTCCCATTTAGCCCAATGTTAAGTTTAGGCATACGCCACGTAGTAACGACTGGAACAATTCAAATGAAACTTTCCAAAATTGAACCTCTATGTCAAAGGTACTAAAAACGGTACTTTGTTTTCGAATCGGTGAGAATAGGTTTTGGGCAAGGAATTCAGTGCTCCGGACCACTGTGCAGTGTGTCCGCATTCAAGGTCAGCAGGTCAATTTTCCCGTGCACGGTTCGATTTATCATTTATCATGGAAAATTATCACCGACGATGGAGGCCCAACGGTATCTAATTCATTGTACATTCTGATCGGATTTCTTCGGATTACCCATTCCTAGCTACGTGTCCGTAGTTCGTTGACCCTTCTGCTGTCTTCTAATTAATGCATGCAAGTTTGTGAGTTTTTCTAATATTGTGAGAAAAGAAACATGATTTTTCCCATGCGTTTAGGGAACGTACATATATGACGTCAAAAAACTGCAGAATTTTAAACAACTCATGCACTTCTTATCTATCCTTCACATGATAAGCTTAACTGGAGTAAGATAAATAGGCGACCCCTTTTATGAGGACGTAATATATGGACGTCCCCATATCTCATGCAGACAAGAGAGACGTTATTTAGACATTAGAGAGACAAGAGCAGACAAGAGCGGGACTGAATTTCAGCTGGGTTCTGCTGACATTTCACATTTGTCGACATGTAAAAAATAATTGATTCGTTCATTTAAAAACAATTAATAAGCTAACTAATCAACGTAATAAAGGGCTATCGTAATAGTTAAACTTGTTAATTATTCATTAGTAAAGATGGACTACCACACACTTTTGGAGAAAGTGCAACACCTGACCACAACTTTATCTCATTTGCAGGAATTCATCGATATAAAATTTGGTAAATTAAGTAATACTTAAATTTCCTTACATTAGTTAATTATCACGGTATTACTGTTGATTAAAAGGTAGCACAATGTGATGTGAAATATTATTTGGCAGATGATTAATTTTCATTAGTTGTATAATATTAACAAAATATTCCAATTGTCACCTAATTTTCATTTATGCATGTCTCCAGTTATGTTTCAGAAATTGAAATAAATCTATACAAAATGTCGACATTTATTTATGTTGGAAATTATTGGCAAAAATGAATTTTACCAAGATTTATTAATGCTACAATTCGACGTTGAAAATTTCAACTTGAAATGTGGCAAATCTTTAAAATTCTGGTACTTTAGTGTAAAATATTTTTACAAATTTTTAGTAAATAGGCTTATTAAATAACTATGCATAGTTTAAACGTTTCAATCAGCAAGTTGGGCCTTAAGCTGTCCAAAAAGTTGGGAACAACTCAATTTGATTAAAGACACTAATTTATTCTGTATTTATCTCCTTTCAGACTTGGATTTTAAAGAATTTCTTCGCAAAAAGCATTCTCCTCCCGGCTCTACCCCGCAAACTGGGAATGAAAGAAGCAAATCTTACCAAGTATCCCCTCCACAAACGGAACCCAATAACGACACATTTGAACCGGAAGTTCCAAACAGTAACGGCATCCAGCACGAGAACGACGTGAAGGTTGAAGTTATCGAAACTTTTCCGTATTACGAGGCTGTTCTCGAGTCAAATGAAGGTTCACCAGGGCAGTTTTTCGGGAACGATGAAAACGAAGATGCAAATCAGGATGAAGACGACAATTTAGAAGACATGGAAGTGGACAAATTTTCCATTGACCCTCTGTCTTGTAAGAAGTTTAAAGTTTTCATTATTAATAATAATTGCAGAATAATTTATTATTCAATTAAACACATACATATTTAACCCGATTAAGATTTATTAACGTAGAACTTGATGACTAATCAATGATGAGTGATCATCAAAATCAGCACATTTTCCATCATTTCTTCCCCTCTAGGAATTTAGTTTAAAATTTTGAACAACTAGTTTGTAGAGCAGAACTTTTTAATTAAACACGTACACTCCAAATTTTGCCAGTTTTTGAGGGAGATTTTAACTCTCAGAAACATTGGATCTTATCGAAACTAGCTAAAGAAACCATAAGCAATTTAGTGACTGCAAATTCGTCGTCCATAAATTTTAAGAAAATTCGCAGAGCGGAAAAATGATTAAAAATGTGCCAATTCTGACGATAAGACATATGTATATACGTACGTTAATAAAAATGCAAGCATAAATGTTTACATCTTTCTATTTTTAGTTACACCAGCTACTTCCGGTCTACCGCGTTGGAAGACGCAGACAACTCCAGCCAACAAAAAATCGTCCTTGCGTCCATCCCGCCTTTCCCTGCAACGACCCCCCGCAGGAGACCCCCTGCGCCACGCCCAGTACGGAATTTGGTACAAAATGTCGGCAAAAGGCAATGAGAAACTTGTCTACAATTCGTACGAGTACAGCTTCAAGCGATGCCGAGAAGCACGACGGACAAGTGGTCGGATTATGGATTGGACCTGCGTCAAAAAGAATCACGGGTGTGGGGCCAGAATTTCACAGACGGAGGATGGCACCCCGACCGTGGTTGCGTCTGCGCATAATCATGATGTGCCGTGATATGTAAATATGTACATATGTACAGGGTGGTTTATGTAAATGTCAGGTTACAATGGAAAATTTTTGAATGAGAAAAATTCGTAAATTTCCAGTAGTTACAGATTTGGGATTGAGATTTTTATTAATTTTTATCAAAACTTATAGAACACTGATGACAAAATTCTTAAAATATTGAATTTCAGGGGCAGAATTTCGGTAACTGGTGGAGATTTGCGAATTTTTCCCATTGAAAAATTTCCCATTGTAGGTAACCAGACATTTAAACCACCCTGTACATTACATATGTAGTTATGGCCTTTTTTTTGTTTTTGTGAAAATGAGTGGTAAATTAGGATATGAGAAAGACTCAAAAACTAAAACAATATTTTTCATATCATTTAATATTTATATAATATTTACATACATTCATGTAATTGAATTGTCATTTTTAAACCGTGGGTTTCAATAAATTCGGAAATGGTATTTTTGTTACTCAACTTTTCCGTCTAATCAAAAAGCGATTTTGAAACCTGTTCAGCTTCTTGCGTTTTACCTACTTTACACAAAGAAGATTTAATAACATGTAGAAACCTATAATATTTGGTTTTTTCGAACTTCGAAAAATACTCGAAGCGAATTATGCAGAACAAAATGTCGAATCTTTTGATTCTTGTAACATCTCGATATCTTTTTCCAGCGTGGACACATTTGGCGGTTTTTGAGATTTTCGGCCCCCCCCTCAAGCACGGGGCGGGGGGTTAGAATTAGATTAATGGCATTTTTGAACTCGCATAAATCAGCTGTACAAACTGTAAAGAAAATTAAATTTTGTTGTGTCCTTTGAATTTCTTTTGACTTTTGATTCAATATTTTCCCTGTTTATGATAATTGTGTATTCCTGGTTTGGATAATATTTGCAAGCTTGAGAGCAGCAAGTGTCATTATCCTCTTCATTACCTTTGTCATGCCATTTGGGTGGTCAGGGTTATGCCTTGTGCGACAAGCAGTGACATAAACAGTAAATATTAGATAATAATCCGTGCAAATATCTCGTATGCAAATATGTATGACTGCGTTTTTTTAGCGTTTAGAACGGTCGCAATATTGGTTAACCTAAGTAACTATTTTTTAAAGATCTTTTTGCATGAAGTAATTCGTTTTATTAATAATTCAAATGTTCCTCTTAACCCAATTAATTGTAAATGACATGAGCATTAATTTTTAGTACAATTTGATTAATAGTAAATGACAAATGGCACGAATTGTTTACAAGAAATTCTAACAAACGGCAAGAAAACGTCAAGTGCATGTACATATGTAAATAAATACGTGCCTTTCATAACACATCAGAAAAGGCATACGTGTCGCGAGACAAGACTTTTGTAGGGTTCGAGGTAAACAAAAGTTTTCTTGTGATGTTGATGATCAAACTGGTTTGTGAAATACTTATCAAATTTGCATATATGCATATAACAGCTGCTAGTTCATGCAGTATTTATGTATGTAATATGTAAATGACTGATTTATGTAGGTGTGATAGTTTAGTCTGTTTTCTTATAAATAAATGTTATGTTTGTGATCATAAATATGTCTTTATTGTTTCAAGAAGTGTCTCTCATTTCATGCATTAATAACGCAAAAGCCATTCAATTTGCAGGAATAGTAAGCAATTATGCAGGTGTTTATGATAAGTATTTACTTACCAGTGTGCGTGCTTTCATGACGCAGATCAAGAAAAATAGGGCTCATATGTACATATGTAAATCTTTATTTAAATTATTTATAAAAGTTGGTAAAAACTTGTTGCCGATATTGTAAAACTTTTTTCTTCAGTCTGAATGTATGTATTTTTAGCTAATAATGGCTCAGCATCAGTCCATATGTACAAATTGGTTAAGCCTTTTCACTGTCATTTCTTTCTTTTATTATTAAGTAGCGCAAGCTACTTTATGCGATGACTTAGTTAGTCTGTCAGTCCGTCCGTCTGTCCGTCTGTCAACACGATAACGGGAGAATGGATCAAAATAATCGAAATCGGTTTGCGGCATCATACATACGACCCTAGGGGGAGGTTCCCCCCAAATTTTGGGGTCAATCGGACCGCACCCCCTGGCACCCAGGGGGTGTGGTCGGGGCAAAATGAGATTTTTAGACAAATTGAATCTATGGACTAAATAGAGTTAAATTAAGTATCTCCGAGTTGTGCCACACCCCCGGGCGCCAGGGGGTGTGGTTGGGGTAAAATGAGATTTTTATAAAAATTGAATCTAACATGTCGGACAAGTAAAACAGTAAGATTGATTAATTAATTAATTAAGATTAATTAAGATTGATAAAACAGTAAAACATGTAACATGCATGATTTTTCAGAGTGGCTACATACAAATGAGGAAGTTTAAATTATTTTATTATTTTGAAATAATGCAGATTCTGCAATCTACATTTCTCAGCATTATTGCGCTACTTGTGTACCCTGCGTTGCCGCAGTTTATTTAACAAGTAGACAATTGCATTATTCTTACGACTATTCCGAGTTTTACTTCTTTGTCTGAGTTATGCAAAACTAAATTCTATGCCCTCAATATATAAAAATCGATAAGAATCAGTAATATGTATCTTCTGCAAAAGCAGTATTCTTAAAGTCAGCCACGACTAATCTGATATGTATGAACAACTTAACTGAACTCCCTAATAAACCGTAGTAACGTTAGAAGTAGCTCACCCTGTAATATATAATTACCTGGCACCTTTGCACCTTGGGTGCAAAATTATAGTAGTTCAACAAAATAGATCAATAATTTTTAAGCAATTATGCACCAGTGGTGCATAAAAACGAGGCATAAAATAGATCAATAATTATTATGCAATTATGCATCAATGATGCAGAAAAACGAGGTAGATGACAAAGTATTTTGCACCACTGTTGGAGATTAACCGTGGTGGGTCCAATAAAATTTCAAAAAATTTGTGTCAAAATTATATAATAAATTCTCCCGGCTATTCTGTACCATTGGTGCGTTTTGCATCAATTAACCCAATTGTTTCGCATCATTTTGTGTTACCGATTGTTAGATACCAACGGTGCTATTAATTTATTAAAAAATGGACCTGATCCATTCTAGTGAGTATCAGTTGTTGCTCATCCAATTGTTTCGCATCAGCTTGGATAACCAACTGTTCAATACGAACGGTGCTACCTATTCCAAAATTGTAGTCCTTTCTCGATCCATTTGCACAATTAATTCGCACCATTTGCGCCACGGATTGTTCGATACCAATGGTGCGCCTAATTTATTCTATAATGGTCAAGGGGATTATTAATTAGCATCAATTGATGCAAAAAACTCGTGAACACACAGACAGACGGACGGACGGACGGACGGACAAGAGGAATTCAATAGCTCTCATGCTTCGCAGGGTGAGCTAATAAATAGTAAACTCAGTGTAGCAAAGGGGTGAAGTGACATAAAATTGACAAAACTCACATCGCCTTCCACCATTTACAAAAAATTCGACCTTTGCCAGTCTAGACGGTCATTGGACCATCGTACCGTGAAATGAGCATATGTAGTTGTGCGCCCTCACCTTCAGAGGGCAAAATTGCCCTCCCTCACGTGCCCTCACCCCCATTTTCGTTAGGGTGTCGATACGTCAATGGGGTTAGGGTGATTAGGGTGAGGGAACTAATTAGCATTTCAGGGAGTGGGATTGCATAATCATGGAAATTAATACAATTTCTAAAACCCCCTCCTCAACTTAAAAACAGTAGGTTGCACTAAAAATTAGACAATGTTGGCAGGTGACCTGGTCACCTTGGCGCCGTGACCTTATGACCTACGAGGCAAATCATCGAACTTACACTCACCCACAAAAATTGAAACACCCCTTTAAAAATTGCATGTCGCAATTCTCATCCGTTCTACGGTTATCGGGGACACCAACAGACAGACAGAGAGGCCGATATGACACTTCTATAAATTGGTTTCACTTCGTTTTACCCTTTTATAAATTACGTGAATTAAGATCGGAATATTTTGGACAAGGCAGAGGAAATGAACAACATATTCAATGCAAAATGTATAAGCTTCGACGATACATAAGTCTCTAACCCGATTATGTATGTAGACTGCAAAATTTAGGTTGGTAATATAGACTTATGTATTACAGAACGAATCCATGGATAAATATTTATTGGGCGTATTATTTCTTAAAGGGTCTACTTAAAATTTCTGAAGCTTTTTTTACTATTTTTCCGCTTTGCAAATACCTCCCTGAGTAGTTTGAACATTCGCAAAAATGACTTCAAAACAGGACTGGACCCTGCTCAATGATGCGGCCAACATTTTTGGCAAGCTCTCCTTCCTAGTGAGATTCACAGTTGATACAAAACGTCGCAAAATTTACACGAAATCCAAAAAAGTTCCCTACATTAAACGATTTTTCTTGTTTACACTGGTTTTCTGTACAAATGGAGTTTTTTCGTTTTATATCCAAGCATGGAAAATAGTTTTTGGAGACCAGGCAGGTTTACATTCCGATGTTGTAAATATTTTGAGAAGTTCCACAATTTTAGGGGGCACGATTATCACATCCGCCCTTCTTCCGGGTATGTTCATGTTCGCCCTGGCTCCTGAAGTGGTGGCGAATTGTGTAAATCCGTTCGAAGAAATATTTTCTATAGTTAAAGGTAAGCACTTTAAAGGCATCCCTGTATGTAACAAAGCTAAGCGGATATTTGATTATAACCTCAAATGTCAATTACTTCCCATGTCCAAATCATTTTCAAAGTCTCGACCCTACAATATCCAAAAGTCTATTTTCATACTAAAATCTTGTCCTCCAATATCGAAATATCCGTTTACATAAATACTCATAACGCGCTATCCAACATCCAAAAGTCCATATCCATGTAAAAATCCATCATCTCCAATATCCAAACATCCATCTCTATAACCAATCTATCCAATCCAATATCCAAACCCAAAATGTTTTGCCCCCCCCCAATATCCAACATCCGCTCTGCTCTGTCTGAGTAAGAACATTTGCAAATTATTAAAATTAAATTTACAGTATCCTGTCACGACAAAGGGATTAAACAAATTGGGAACGCTTCCCAAACGTGGGCCGCATTTCGTAAAGTGTGTCTCATTTTACCCACGATAATTACACCCATCGGCGTTGCATTAACCGTCCTTTTAAATATCGACCCAACCCGTGAATTTGCCGACTTCCTACTTCCATCCAGATTTCATAAGAAGAAAGGCATCGGCATCCTGGTAATTTCGATTTTGGGTGGCACAAAGTTATTTGCTGCACTTGAGACAGCTATATTGGTCATTGTACACTCGATTACATACAGAAGGAATGCTAGAATAACTGATGGTCTCATTGCGTCAAGATTCACGTAGTACAAGTTTTCATGAACCAATACAGCCCATATCTGTAATTTACTCTGATTTCGAATTAACCGATAGTCTAAAATTTCAATTTCAAACTGAGTTTATCTGATTTAACGTGGA